ATATGAGCTGTATGAGTTAAAAATATGAGTTAAAAATATATGAGCTGTAAACCAAAGACCTATTGTTGGAAAATTCCTAGGATCAGGACACTTCCTTGTCCTGACTAGCTGGATTCTCTGATTCAATTCACTTGCTAAAATATAGACTCTCTTGCTTTCTCTCTATGTACCCGTTTGCATATGCATGCAAATGTATATATGTGTGTATAATCTTTCATCTCTTGATATTTTTGGAACACCACGATTTCTTGTTATTTGTACAGTAAAAGATCCAATGCACACAATGTATTTTTCAACCTGTTGTTACATATGTAGCTGGCATGTCTCCTTTCAATTCTCCTTAAAGAATATAAAGCTTTTAAGGTTTCCACTTTAGCTGACACTAAATATCTCAGCAAGCTCTGTCTGATTATTCAGCGTTGTTATGGATAAAGTAGATAAAGACCCTGAGGGCAAGTCCATCAAGTTTTCAGATGTCACTAAGCTGTGAAGGAGGGTGAGCTATAGTAGATGACAGAAATAGCATTTGCAAAACATTATGACAGGAAGGAGAGATGAAATGGATCTAACAATATGAAATGCAACAGAGATAAACATCAAGTTGTATAGTTGCTGCCCCTAAACAGCCAACTGCACAAGATGAGATAGGGCTTAATGAGGTTTTAGTCTTCATTAAGCTCAATATTGGCCAACATTATGGTTCATTCAAAGAAAGTAAATACAGTCATGCATCACTTAATGACAGGGATACATTCTAAGAAACGAGTCATTAGGCTTTTTCCTCACTGTGTCAACATCATAGAGTATATTTAAACAAACCTAGATGGAATAGTTTACTACACACCTAGGCTATTTGGTATAGTCTATTGCTTCTAGGCTATAAACCTAGACAGCATGATACTATACTTAATATTGTAGGCAACTGTAACACTGTGGTATTTGTATGTCTAAACATAGAAAAGGTACAGTAAAAATACATATAAAAGACGAAAAATGGTATACCTGTATGGAACATGTACCATGATTGGAGTTTATGGGACTAGAAGTTGCAGTAGGTGAGTCAGTGAGTGAATGTTGGGTGCATGTGAAGGCCTAGGATATTACTGTGCACTTCTGTAGACTTTATGAACCTTGTATACTTAGGCTACACCAAATGTTTTTCTTCAATAAATTAACCTTAGCTTATTGTAACTTTTTTACTTTATAAACTTTTTAATTTTTGCAACTTTTGACACTTGTCTAATAACACTTAGTTTAAAACACAAACACATTGTACAGTTGTACAAAATATTTTCTTTATATTATTCCATAATCTTTTTCTATTTTTAATTTTTTAAAACACGTATTAAACATTTTTTTCAAACTAGGACACAAAAACACATCTTAACCTAGGTCTCCACAGGGTCAGGATTATCAATATCACTGTCTTTCACCTCCATATTTTCCTCCATGTGTTATCCCACTGGAAGGTCTCCAGGGACAGTAATACCCACAGAGCTGTCATCTCTTATGATAACAATGCCTTCTTCTGGAATACCTCCTGAGGACTTGCCTGAGGCTGTTTTAGTTATCTCTTTTTTTATAAGTAGAAAGAATACATTCTAAAATAATGATTGAAAAAGATGGTATACCAAATACATAAACCAGTAACCTAGCCATTTATCATTATCAAGCAGTATGTACTGTAAATGACTGTAGGTGATATATTTTTATACAACTGGCAGCTCAGTAGGCTTGTTTACAAAGGCATCATTACAAACACGTGCGTGAGTAATGCACTGCATTATAC